AATTGTATAGTTAGAGAACTTCTAAATGGTGAGGAAGTCAGGACAATTGCAAGATAGAATGGACTGTTCTAAACTCGGGGAGAAAGTTATAAATCACAGGGCAACCTCAAAGAAAAATGATAAACCTTCACATCACAATAAAAAAAGAGGACTGCTAAAGGGGCAAGGAGGACACATCTTCTGACTTCCCCTAACCCCACAAGAGGAAGACAGAATCAACATCAGTAGCACAAGGCCTATTCCTGTGAGGCCAGACATGCTGCCTCCCTCCAGCCCTTCCACCAACCCTGACACCAACTGTTCCTTCCACAGCACTCACCACCTTTCTGCTGAGTTCAATAATTCACTGCAGTGGCCATACAGAACTCACAGATTATGGGGTTTATTAGGGAAGCACCAGGCTACAATTCAAGTTCAGGAAAAATGTCCAGTCTCTCTCAGCCCACCGTCTCTCAGCCAACAGTCTCTCTCAGCAACTCTCCCAGCAATGCATGTCTCTCAGTGCCTCTCTCAGCAATGCATGTCTCTTGCACCTCTTTCCCAGCAGCACATGTCTCTCAGGAGCATGTATCTCTCAGGAGCACATTTCTCTCAGGAGCACATTTCTCTCAGCAACACATCTTTCTCAGCCAGCAGTCAGAGAGAGACTTCTGCTTCTAGGAGGCCTCCTTTTGAGCCTGCCAGAGTGGCCAAACTAACCAATCATAACATCAGAATTATAAGCACCTGAGAGAAAGCAAACTTCCCAGAACATTGCTTTGTGCCACTCTCAACAGAAATACCCCAGGAGCTCCTCAGTTGCTCATAGCAAATTACACCACGGAGTTTACAAAGACTTATGGCTAGAAAAGCCATACCAGGTTATTTACTACACAAGCACAAATACTTAGCAAATACTAAAACAACAGCAATGAAGTAAATGATAACACATTTCATAAACAAAATGAGCTCAGCACAGAAAATTATATGGAACAAAGAAATCAGCAACACCACACACACACACAAAAAAAAAAAACACATAACAAAATGACAGAAACTAATTCATACTTCTAAATAATTACTCTGAATGTCAATGGATTAAATGCATCACTCAATAGACAGGGAGTTGCAGAATGGATAAGAGAACATGAGTCATAAATATGAGTCTACAAGAGACACACCTCAGAGACAAAGATGAAAATAGACTAAAAATCAAAGGTTGGAAAAAGATATATCAAGCAAATGGCAAGAAAAAAGAACAGGTATGGCAATACTATTTTCTGATCAAATCAACTTTAAGACAAAAACCACCATAAGAGACAAGGAAGGACATTATATAATAATTAAAGAATCCATTGAACAAGAAGACATAACTGTAATAAATATCTATGCACCCAATGAAACAGCTTCAATGTACAAAAATCAGACTTTAACAGAATTGAAAAGACAAACAGATGACTCCATAGTCACAGACTTTAATATACCACTTTTAAGGAAAGATAAAACTGGAAAGAAACTCAACAAAGATGCAGAAGTGAACAATACAATCTACCAACTTGACCTTATAGACATCTACAGAGCACTTCACCCAACAACAGCACAATATACATTCTTTTCCAGTGTACATGGAACATTCTCCAGATAGACCATATGTTAGGCCACAAAGCAAGCCTCAATACATTTAAAAACATTGAAGTACTGCAAATCATCTTCTCAGGTCACAATACTGTAAATCAGTTGTAGAAATCAACAATAGGAAGATGAACAGAAAAAGAGCAAACACATGAAAACTGTATAACACCCTCCTTAAAAATGACTGAGTAACAGAAGAAATATAAAATGAAATTAAAAAGCTCCTTAAATCAAACAAGAATGAAAACAAAACTGCCAAAGGGGCAAGGAGGCCACATCTTCTGATTTCCTCTAACCCCACAAGAGGAAGACAGAATCACTATCAGTAGCCCAAGGCCTATGACTGTGAGGCCAGACATGCTGCCTCCCTCCAGACCTTTCACCAACCCAGACACAAACTGTTCCTCCCACAGTACTTACCTCCTCTCTGCTGGGTTCAATAATTTGCTGCAGTGTCCACACAGAACTCACAGATTATGGGGTTTATTAGGGAAGTAATAGGCTACAATTCAAGTTCAGGAACATGTTTAGTCTCTCAGCCGACAGTCTCTCTCAGTCTCTTTCCCAGCAGTGCATGTCTCTCATCCAGCAGTGAGAGATTTCTTCTGCCTCTAGGAGGGCTCTTTTTAAGCCTGGCAGAGTGGCCAAACCAACCAACCCCAACATCAGAAATCTATACACCTGAGAGAGAGCGAACTTCCCTGAAAATTACTTCTTGCTGCTCCCAACAAAAATACCCCAGGTGGATAACTTTAACAATCAGGAGCTGCTTAGTTGCTAACAGCCAATTCCACCACAGCGTTTACAAAGACTTATGGCTAGAAAAGCCATACGGCTAGAAAAGCCGTGCTATGTAATATACTACACTTCAGGCCAACCCTTGGCTTTTCTAGCCATTATCCCTTTTATACTTCAAAAATTAACATCCCCTTCACCATCAAGTTAAGAATAACCACACCCATGAAAGTGTGTAAGCCAGCCACTTCATGCCTTTATCTTCCCCCATTTTAGATAGTCAATTTCTAATTTGCCCATTCCTATCAAACCAGTACTCTGAGGAGACAAGCATGTTCTTTTCTCTGGAGAATCTGGAAACTTTGGGCATCTGAATCCATAGACAAGCAAAGTCCAGCCCAGCACAAGCCATCAAATTGCAGCAACTTGACACTAGCTCAGTGTCAAACAACTTCCTCTTTGTTTGGTCAGGTTCTTGTCAGCTCAGCCCTAGCCATCCCAGCTAGGTCATGGGTTCCAGCTGCCAAGTTTGGGATGTGCAATAGGAAGTCACACTCTTCCCTTCACTTCAGACCGGCCAGCACCTCTTCTCATATCCTCAGTCCTCAGGGACTATTTCAATGCCCATAGGCTCACAACTCCTTGCACTCAGGGAACATCTAGCTAAATTGGCATAACATAATACACAAAAATATTCTTCCACATCCTACTTTGGTGAGTAGCAACTGGAATCTTAAAAGCTTGCAAGTGGCCACCTAGACACAATGATGTGTCTCTCGTTGTCCAGAGAAAAGAAGAACAAAGGAAACCAAAGATGCATGGAAACAATTAGTCCAAGGGACTACTAGGCCATGTAATCCTCAGCCTGTATGACCATGAGGCCAGAAGAACTAGATGGTGCTGGGGTACCACTGTCAACCACTTGCAGGGGTATCTGTGTAGGAGATCCTGGAGAGAGCAGGAGAACAATGTGGAACAAACCTCAATATCATTAAAAAAAAAAGACCATATTTGCTGGTCTGATAGACCCTGGTGAAACTATGGCCCCTGGCTGTCTTTCGGGTCTGGAATTGAACTCACTCTTGTGGCTTCCAGCCAAATAACTGACAGGCATACAGGCTGAACATTTACATCAGGTAGATACACTCCTCATAGAGATCAATCATGGGAGAACAGAAGGGCAGTGTATGTACAGGGAGACAGCTCAGGGGGCAGGAGTTCATTTCTGTTCTTTAAAGACACCCACTTGCGGTATTTTTGTTTTGTTTTGTTTTGTTTCATGGCTATAATAGATAACTTTCCTGTCTTCAAAAAGCCATTTGAATATGTTGTTGTTACTGTTATGTGCCAGTCGAGTAGGACGCGACTCATAGCGACCCCTCCTTGGGTTTCCGAGGCGGTATCACTATGGAAGTAGATTGCCCAACCATCTTCCCAGGAGTGAGTGGCTGGTGGGTTTGTACCGCCAGCCTTCTGGTTAGCTCTAGGCACTACACTACTAGAGCACCTCATTTGAATATGTTGTTTTTGTTGTTATGTGCCCTCCAGTCATATCTGACTCATAGCGACCCCTCCTTGGGTTTCCGAGGCAGTATCACTACGGAAGTAGATTGCCCCATCTTCCTTCCAAAGAGTGGCTGGTGGGTTTGAACCGCCAGCCTTCTGGTTAGCAGTCAAGGTGCCTTAGGCACTATGCTACCAGAGCTCCCCATTTGAATATGTTGTTGTTTGTTGTTGTTATATGCCGTGGAGTCAGCCCCGACTCATAGCGACCCCTCCTTGGGTTTCCGAGGCAGTATCACTACGGAAGTAGGATTGCCCAACCTTTCTTCCAAGGAGTGGCTGGTGGGTTTGAACCACCAGCCTTCTGGTTAGCAGTCAAGTGCTTATCCACTATGCTACCAGAGCTCCATTTGAATATAGGTATATAATAATATAGGTATTCATCCAGTTTCAAAAGCAACTTGAAAGAAGTAAGACTGAAAATTAAATCCTCTGGGATCATGAAGGAGGCAATGGCTATTTCTCAGAGAGCAGCCCCACAGCAGTCATGTTTCCTGTTCTGGCTACCTAGTGCCGTCTGACAGGAAACATACAACAAATGGGATGGCCTTAACAAACAGGAGTTTATTCTTACAATTTGGAGGCTTTAAGTCCAAGTTCAAGGTGCCAGGCTCTAGGGGCTAGGTGAAAGCCCCTCAACCATGGGGTCTAGCTCTGCCTCTTGCTCCCAGCCCACTGGAGCTAGAGGCGTTACTTCACTCAGATGGCTGCTGGCTGCTGAGGCTAAGAAGCCCCAAGGTTGACAAGTCAAAAGGCACAGTCCTGATGTTACCAAACCATGCAGCAGGCCACTAACTTAAGTCCCTAGGCCGGCAGAGCATGGCAGGCTGCTGAGCAATGACACGGCTACATGCTGGGTCCAAGTGTGCCATAGGCTAGAGACCATTTCCAAGTCTTCTTCCTGTATATAAATACAGGAAGCAGACCACATACCCAAAGGCAGCTACTCAGCTGCTCATAGTAGATTCCACCATGGAGCTGATTACCAGTCTCTTCATGGGAAATACTACATCCAGCTGCCCAGCCACTCAACCAGGCCTAGCCAAGTTGACACACAAACATAACCACCACATCCCCCTCTTGGGACTCACGTGTTGCAACAATGAATTCCATTTTCCAAGCAAGAACACTGCTCACAGTTCTTAGTCTTCCACTTCGAGTTTACCTGGTGGGTTACTCCACTGAGATCCTTGCATTCTAAAATGATACATATGACATCTTCAGTAGAGTTTCCAAACCATGCAATGGGAACAAGGTTTGTCAAGACTTGGAGGCCACCTGTCTGGTGGCATAGTGCCTAAGGCATTTGACTGCTAACTAGAAGGCTGGTTGTTCAAAACCAGCAGCCACTACTCGGAAGGAAGATTGGGCAACCTACTTCCGTAGAGATATCGCCTCAGAAACCTGAGGAGGGGGTCACTATGAGTCAGAATCAACTAGAAGGCAGTGAGTTTGGTTTTTGGGTTTTTTTTTTTTTTTTTTTTTTTTGCACCCTTCCCAAACAGTGAGACTCTTGTATTTTAAAAGTGCTTCTGTGTTTACCCGTGACTATATTCCAGTACTGTCCAGTTCATGCAGGTGATAATTTTTTCCTACAGAAAGCTTTACTCTTTCAAGATTTTATTTCAGAACAGACATTTCAACAACAACAAAAAAAAAAGCCCTTCTTAGTAATCAGGTCACTATTATAAGCTTATGGCGAATTTGATGCCATATTTTTTCCCGATGGATTATCTCTAGATAAATGTTTCATTTCTCCACCTTCCTTTGGGTTGGAAAAGTGCTTCTCAACTATGGCTGCATGTGTGAAGCACCTTGGATATTAATTTTTTTTTTTTAAGTTAGGCCCCTCCATAAGGTCCAGAAATGGTGATGAGGGAGAACAGATTATCCATTTTTACATATATTCATACAGACTGAGATTACCTACTTGACAATATCTCATAAATAGACCATTATGACTCCTCTCTCTTTCTTGGTCTCAGTTTCTATATTTTTAGAAGCTCCAAATTTTGACCAAGTAAGTCAAATGTTCAACCAAAATGAAACCACTGCTTTAGATCCTTGATGGTCAAGCTATGGTGAAGTATCAGCAGCATAAGCATCACCTGGGGCCATGTGGCTGCGTGCCCTCAAGTAGATTCTGACTCTGAGACCCATAGGCAGAATAGAACTGCCTCATAGGGTTTTCTAGGCTGCAGTCTTTACGGAAACAGATTGCCACATTTTTCTCCCACAGAGTGGCTGGTGGATTTGAACTGCTGGCCTTTTGGTCAGCAGTCCAACACTTAACTACTGCATTACAAGAACTCTTTGGGGCCACATTAGACATTAGACATGTGAGATTCTTCTCATACCCACTAAATCAGAATCTGCATTTTGACAAGATTCCCAGGTGATGTGTGTGTAGATTAAAGTTTGCAAAGTATTGCTTTGAAGCAATCAGTGTTTCAAAACATTGGCTGTACATGAGAGTTATTTGGGAGCTTTTAAATGTGTGAATCCTACCCAAGAGATTCTTCTTTACCTGGTCTTGGATGGGGCCTGAATATTGCTAAGTTTCCAAAACTCTGCAGGTAAGCTTCATACAGCTAATCTTGAGAACTATTGTTTTATATAAATGGAAAATCGAAGTTCTCATGTTACTCAACATTCTTCTCATGCAGATTCAAGGCTTTCATCTACCAACAGGGTCACAACTGCTAGTCTGCCAGAACATCATAAACACTGAAAAACCAGTACTTACCAGTGGTTGATTCACCTGGAATGTTCTCAATGGGTATGAAATAGCACTGGGCATGGCAGAAAGTCACAAAAGTGGCAAACACCACGAGGCTACACAGGAGAGCATTCTGCAATGTAAAGAAAGGGCAGGGATGGAAAAGGAATGAATTCAGACAGTAAATGTTGACTGCCACGTACAAGAAGCCCTGCTGGGCTCTGGAAGGTAGTTATAAAGTGGAGCTTCTACCCTCAGGTAATGTAGCAAGGGGAACAAGGGTAACCTACATAAATTACAAATATAAACTATCAAAAGAGCTATAGACATGGGCCAAAACTCAAAGCAATAATGACAGTATGCTATTTTATTCCATAGGTGGTTCTGAGACCTCTTGTGGGATGGTGAATTTTAGCTTCTTTGCAGAATATGCAGAGTTTAATGGACTAGGAGCTCTGGTGGGGTAGTGCCTAAGGCATTTGACTGCTAACCAGAAGGCTGTCAGTTCAAACCCACTAGCCACTCCTAGGAAGGAAGACTGGGCAATCTACTTCCACAGAGATACCACCTCAGAAACCCAAGGAGGGGTTGCTATGAGTTGGGACCAACTGGATTGCAGTGAGGTGTTTTTTTTTTTTTTTTGGTTTAAAGGACTAGGATGGGGGAGTTGAAGAGAGTTTCATGAAAATAATATAATATTAACAGGAATACGAATCACAAGAAATGTCAGAGCTGTGACTAGAATTATCCGGTTAGGGCCAGGTTGTGAATACAAACTATGAGGCTTAAAACTTCATTCTCCCAGGATAAAGAATCTTTGATGACTACATGAATATCAATTAATCTAGGGTGAAACTGGATCTGTAGGGCAACAAAAAGTAGCAAGTTGCTCTGTCATCTTTTGGAGATGAGAAAGCTAAAGAAGAAACAAACCTTAATGTGGGGTTTCCAGGAATCCTTTAAAAACACCTAGTACTGTAAAATGTCTAAAATTAATTGTTACATGCTACTTGAAATGATATGCTAGTGATATAAGAATGGAAAGACAAATACATGGAATAAAATAGAAAATCCAGGAAGTAAATTTATAAATATTTATAAAAGTTAATTATAAGATAATTTTGGTCTTTGAAATCTGTAAAGAGTGATTACTCAATAAATAGTATTAGAACAAGTGGTGGACTATTTGGGGAGGAAACAAAGCTAGTTTCCAACTTTACTCCCCCAATACAATAAATTCTAAAAGAATGTAAGGGTTACATTTTTATAATGATATTATAAAATAATCAAAGAAAATACAGGAAAAAATTTATCTTATTCTAGACATAATAGAAAAAGAAATAGATTTTAGTATATAATTTATAAATGAAAATAAACTTTATAAAACCATATATAAAATTTAAGAGCAATTCCCAAAGTTTCTACATGAAAAGGAAAAATCTCCTAGCAGAAAAATGACAAAAGAAAGTGGCAATCCACAGACACAGATAGAAATGATAAACTGTTGAAAAATTCAACTTACTGACAGTTAAAGAAATAAAATATCTAGATAAAATAGAATAATAATGGGATGGCAAAATAATTATTTAGCTTATGATACCCAGAGGGAAATAAAAACATACATGGGAGGCGATATGCACAAGGACGGTATGTATATGTTGCAATAATTTTTTTTTTAAAGTTGGAAAATAATGTTTTAATAGGAAATCACAAGGCTAAAGACGGAAGGAACTTCATGTAAACAGTACTCTAGTAATCAAACTTGTTTCTTATGCCTGACTGGTTAATGACTCTGTAATTGTTCTACGTTGTTATTTATTTATTTATTTATAATTGTGATTTGGGTGAAAGTTTACAGAGCAAACTCACTTTCCATACAGCAGTTCACGTGCACTTTGTCTCATGACATTGACTACAATTTACCACAATGCAACAGCTCCCCTCCCACTTCTTCCCCATAGTTACCTCTTCCCTGTGTCCTTCCCTCTATGCACTCCCACCCCCTGAGCTATGTCCCTGTGTATACACAGCCCTTCAATTCTCCCATGATTGTTCTCTCCAAGGAGTGTATCTACCACCTCATATGCCTGTCTTTTGTTTGTCTGGAAGTCACAGGTGTGGGTTCAATTCCAGACCTGAAGGGCAGCTATGAGCCATAGTCTCAGTGGTTCCATCAGGCTCTATCAGACCAGCAAACTTGGTCCCTCTTTTTTTTTTTTCAAATGATTTTGAGTTTTGTTTCACATTGTTCTCCCACTCTATGCAGAATCTCCTACATAGATCCCCCTCCAAATGGTTGACAGTGGTAGCCAGGCACCATTTAGTTCTTCTGGTCTCAGTCGTATAGGCTGAGGATCGCATGGTGTACCAGTTGCTTGCACTGATTGTTTCCGTGAATCTTTGGTTTTCTTCATTCTTCTTTGCTCTGGATGAAGAGAGAGCCATGTTGCATCTAGAGGGCTGCTTGTTGCAATAATTTTTATGGAGGGCAATTTTATAGTATGTAGCAAAATCCTGTTAGTTTGTGGTACTATGGTGACTTGTGTGTTACTCTGATGCTGAAAGCCATTCTGGAAGGTATTTCAAAATAGCAGTAGGGTCACTCTGGTGGACAGGTTTCAGTAGAGCTTTCAGACTAAGACCAACAAAGAAGAAAGGCCTGATGATCTACTTCCAAATATTAGCCAGTAAAACCCTATGGATCACAACAGAATATTGTCTGCTATAGTGCTGGAAGATGAGACCTCTTAGTTAGGAAGCACTCAAATATACAGTGGCTGCAACAACGGACTCAAACATACAAAGATGGTGCAGGACTAGTCAAAATTTCTTTCATGGGGTCACTGTGAAGTAGAGCCAACTCAACAGCAATTAACAACAGGGAAATCCTTAAAAATATTTACAACATTTGACTTCACCTTTTTACTTCTAAGACTTACCCTAAGAAGATTGACAGAGAGATGGAGATAACTTCTCTACAATGATGCTTATTGCAGTGGGAGAATGGAAATAGACTAAATGTCCAACAGGCACTGGTGAGAACATTGTAACTCAGAGAAAAACTATTAAAGTGACAGTAGGAGAATATGAAATGACATGTGCAAATGATCACTATGTATCACTAAGTGAATAGCCCCCAAAATCCAAACTAGGTATCATAGAATTGATTCCAACACCTGGTAACCCCATGTGTATCAGAGTAGAACTATGCTCCATAGGGTTTTCAATGCCTTTCAGTGACCTTTCAGAAGTAGATTGCCAGGTGTTTCTTCTGAGATACATAAACAGGTTATAAAACAGTTTGTGCTGTGTGATTCCTATGATTAAAAAGATACAGAAATAGAGACACTTAGAAACAGATTGAAGGCTATGTACTAAATTTTAACAACAGTTATTTTGAGTGGTGGGATTCTGAGAACATTCTTGTATGAGCTTTTCCTCTTATTTTCTAAATTGTTTACAATGGAATCCATTAGTTTTATACAGAAAGAATGAATCAATTTTCAAAAAATCCCAAACTCAATACATGAAAATAATTTAAGAAGGATATAGAAGCCAAGAAATGTCACAGATATGACAGAAAGATCACTTCACTTCCATTTAGTTCATATTTAGTCCATAGCATGCCTTGTGGCTGCACCTGCTCTCTCTCTCTCTCTCTCTCTCTCTCTCTCTCTCTCT